TTTTTAAAAATCCTGTAGGTTTTGAAAATAAAAGTTTCAAGATGGATGCACTGTTCCCAGCAGACACGTGTGTCTGTCTGCACTTAGGAGGTGGGGTCCGAGTCAGCAGCTAGGACGGGCCTGTTCTGAGTGGCCCGTCACTCTATCCTGTGGTTGTGGTGTTTTTCATGCCTCCCAAGTGCTCCGCTACTGCCATGCGTGTGACATCATCGTCGTCGCTCTGAGGAGCCGAGTCAGGCCAGCTGAGGAACCTGTACCGCTGAGTCGTGACTCAGTTAGCAGAGCCCAAGTCCTGTTCCTGCTCCTTTGGACCCTGTGGGCCACTCCCGAGTCCTTTAAACTGCTCTGAATTTTGCAAACGCACCATTGCATGTGTGTGAAGCCTTGCACGTACTCAAAATTTTCTTGTAAATAATTAGCACACACTAATTTTAAAAAAGTTCCTGGCATTAGGAGTGATAATCCCCAAGAGTGTTAAGGTTTTCCACAGCCTGTTCTCTGTGTTGCCAAGTGTTTACTGCGTGGTCCTCTCCTCCACGCGGAGCAGCTGCATTTCAACATGAGCCTCTTACAGATCTGAAGGGCTGCGTGGTTTACGAAGTTCTTTCGCTGAAAGTGGCTCACGTGATTCTCACAACAACTTCTGATCTGGGGGTAAATATCATCTTTCCCCACCAAAACCAAGGGAATTAACTAAGGAGAAATATTTCAAGGGAATGGAATTAATATGAGAGAATGAAAAAATGGAAACAAAGCCTTTGGAAATAGGGAGGGATGGAGGGGTTGAAGGGAGGGCAGGGGAAAGGGGAAAAATAAGAACCAAGAGAGACTATGTAAAGGTGCAAATTTCCAATGATGAATGTCATTATACTGTACACCTAAAATGTACCAATAAAATAAAATTTAAAACAACATTTCAGATGGAAAAGAAAATTGTGCATCTGTTTTTCCAGTTGGGAATTGCTTAGGAGTGTGTGTGGAAGGAACAAAATGCCTGGGAGAAATATGCTAATTGTTAATTTTTAAAGTTTTACACAAAAGTCAAGGTTGGTAAAACTGAAGTTGTTGGTACTATTAACAGCTAATATTAGCGATTAGCATGTGCTGGGTGTGAATCAACCCTCCGACTCCTGACGGTAAGCCTATGAGGTGGGTGCTGTCTTCCTCAGGGCTGAGCCGGAGCCTGGGCCTGCTGCGTGCCGGCGGAAGCTTGACCCGAGCTATGGCCCAGCCCAGCAGGCATGATTTTGCCCCGGTTTTACAGATGAGAGGGCAGGGTAACAGAGCTGAGTGAAATCCCCAGAAGATGCAGGGCCGGCCCTGGAGCTAAGCCCGCCCTGCTCTGCTCCTGCCATCCCATCGGGCAATTTCAGGCTGGCCTGGTTTAGCAGCCAGCAGGGAAAACCCCTGAGCAGTCCCCAGCCTGTGCCAGGTTCTCAGCTCTGTGCTGCCTCTGGCGGGGCCATAATGGAGACAGAGTCACCAGTCATGGTCGCCTCACATCACAGAGGCCCGTGGCACCCAAGCGGCCCGTGTGAAGAATTGTGACAAATGGACACACGCTGGCACCCTCCCAACGATCCAGACAGAACGTCCTTCCCTCCTGATGGTCCTGAGTCCCTCCCGCCACACCTGGCATCAAACCAAGGTCCAAGTGTGGTACCACACACCCATAATCCCAGCTCTGGAGAGGCTGAAGCAGGAGGATCGCCTGGAGTTTCAGGTCAGCCTGCCCTGTATAGTGAGACCCTGTCTCAAAAATAAGAAGCACTTATTACTCCAGGAAAAGCCACGCCACCCTATGAGTTTGCTTTTCGTTTTAATTTGACATTTGAGTGTATGTTTTAGATTCCGAGGAGTTCACATTGGCTGTCGGTTCTCTACACTCAGTTGCTCATTTCTTCATTTTATACTTTATCGAACTTTCTGGAGGGGAATTGTTAGCTAACCAAGACAGTTTTTACCTTATTAAGTTGATGAGTTTTAAAGAAATGTCTGTTTCTCTTTCTTAAGTCAGTTTGCCTGTATTGAGCACACCTGCGGTGCCTGGGCCACGTGTTTTTTTGTAAAGTTCCAGCAGGTGGCGCTCTTGTACAGCCGAAAAGCTTTCTAAAGGCGGATTTTTCTAGGTGTTTCCTTCCTACTGAGACTTACTGTCAAATCCATTTCTATTTGGGCAACTAGAATTCATTACCTTTGGTCATCAGAGTCATGCACGTTGTTTGCTGAACATTTTTAGAAAGTGTACGAAATGTTCCAGACACGGTGGCACATGCCTGTAATCCCAGCTAGTAAGGAGGCTGAAGCAGGAGAGTTGCACGTTCCAGGCCTTCTGGGCAGTTTGGTGAGACCCTGTCTCAAAAATAAAATAAAAATACATAAAAAGGGGTAGAATGCAGCTCAGCACTCCCTGGGTTCCATCCTCAGCATGACAAACAAAATGCAACAAAATGTACGAAAGAAAGATAGAGCATCCTCCAAGCCCTTCACCATCCCCTCCACATTATGCTGACAATCCAGGAAATAACGTGCTTTCCAAAGCTTTAGCTTAGGCAGACAATAAATGCATAGCAAAGTAAAATTTCAAGTTAGAAAATTTCAGATTTTGAAATAGCCTGAGCACCTTGCTGGCCTTGTGTAGCTGTAAAGAGAGGGCACTGTCTGAACCCGGGGGCTGATCCCCCACCCGCTGCCAGAGCTGTGCGGGATCCGCGGCTGAGATTTACAACCCCTGGTCCGGGTGTTCGGTTACAGCAGCCGGGACAGACCGGCCCCTGGCGTTTCCTGTCGGAGAAGCCAGGAGTGCGGCTTTAGCGGGCAGGAAATGTAATGGTTCCTCTGCGAGTGAAGACTGCAGACTGCTTGTTTCGACCCAGCTCTTAAGGGGAAAACACACTGCTGTGGGGACTTGCTTCTGTTCTGTGAAATCCTGGGCATTGGCGCTCCAAGGGTAGTTTTGTGAGCTTTCCCTGGTGCTGAAGCCTGCGGGCAGCTGACTCCGGCCGGAGGGCGTGACCCGAGGGGCCCAGCACAGTGGAGAGGCTCCGGGCCAGCCTTGGAAGTCGCTTCGTGCCCTCCTCAGCCATCTGTCTGCCTTCCCACTGAGGGAGGCACCGGCGGGAGGTGGGGATGCAGGGTGGAGGCTGTTGCAGGCTACAAAAGCAGCGTGCAGCCCCCCCCACGCGCGATGGTGCCCGCAGCCCTGGTCAGCTGAGCCCCCCGTGGTGAGTGCAGAGAGGACAAAAGGTGCAATCGCCCCTCCTCGGCCGGCCGTGGAGAGAAGTCTGGGCAAGTTCCCGTGAGAGCGGTGTCCCGGGAGCCCTGGGTGGGGGACGCTTCCATACGCAGGGCTGTGGCCACGGAGCAGGCGGACAGGACCCAGGCCATCAGAGTTGCGCAGACCCCTCCGGCTCTGAGCCCTGCGCCGTGAGACAAGGGCGCGACCGAATACTGCGTGCGATGTAAACCGGTGGCTATTTGTGGGCCCCTCTGAATGTCGGGGAAGCGCCGCCTTCCATGTCCGCGTCAGAAGCGACCCTGACGATTTCTCTAGCCCTGAGGTCAGTTCTCCTTGGTGCGCAAGAGAGAGGCGTGGAGGAGTGGCAGTGTGCGGCGAACGGCCCGAAACTCCCAAACCCGACAAGGGAGCACGGCCCCTCCCAGCTTCAGTTAGCAGAGCAGCTCTCAGCTCGGGACCCTCCAGGCCGGGCGCCTCCTCTGTCCCTTCCCTGACACACGCTTCACTGCCCCCCGGGCTCCTCCATCCCCTTTTGGTTCCATTCAGTAAACAATAACGGGACTCAGACAAGGCGCTTCCGGAGCCAGAGCTTTCTAGGTTCCTGGCAGTTGCTGTAGATCATCTCGTTTAATCCCCACAAGCCCTGCCCCGCGGAGCAGGTTTGCAGATCAAGGGATAGAGGCGTTCAGAGTTAAATTATTGCTGGTAGGTAGTGGAGCCAGGATTTGAACCCAGTATGCTTCAGAACCCGGGCTCTTCATTGTGAACTCCTGCTCTGGGTTTCTTTTTAGGGGTCTGAGCCACCATCTTCACCTGGCAAAGGCTTAGACTTGGGCTACCCTTGCCCTTCGCCCTTTGCCCTGCCACAGAATGCGACTTCTAATCCTGGCTTTCGGATCAGACTTAACTGCCCCAGGAGCCCCACCCGAGCCCCGCTGTGGTCCAGGAGGAAGGCAGCAGTCTCCCTGTACTGCTCAGTTCCTCCCCTCCTCGCCCCCGGTTGCTCTCTGCAGGCAGCGCCTCTGCCTCCCCCGTGGGGTCTCTGCGCCTGGCCTGTCTCCTTCTGCCCTCAGCAAGAGCCCCTGAAGCACAAGGCTGTCCGTGTGCCTCCTTCTGTCTGGCGTGGCCCCACAGGGCCTCAGGAAGAGCTTCTTGCCTTTGTGAAAGAAGGTGGTGCACATGGACAGGACAGCGGCTCCCCCTGGCAGTGGGTAATATAGTTGATTAGCAGCCTCACCAGATTGATGGAAACAGAGCAGAACTTCCAAAAGTTTCTTCTGAACGTAAACCCCCAAGCCTGACTAACATCTTTGCTCTAGTGTTCATCTACTTTATTATTTAATATTATAAAAATCTCTCTCCACGCCCTTGATGTTATTGTTGGAAGCAAGAAGGTACACACTTTGTGTTATTACCATTCATCTTTTATTAGCTCTATTAGCACTACTTCATCAAAGCTCTGTGATTTCAAAGCAATGGCTCACGTCCCCAGAAGAAAGTCCCCAGAGGACACTCCGGGTCTCAGGAGGGTGGAAGGGGATTTGGGTTCGTTATGGAGATCAATGTGACCACAGTGACCCATGACTGAATACTGCTTCAGAGGGACAAAGAGTACTCAAAGTGAAGAGAAGATCCAGAGAAAACATCAAACAGACCAAAACCAGATTGAACTAATACAGCATGTTAATCTGAAAGAAGTGATTCCTAGTTGTAAATGTCTCATTCCTCAGGAACAAATCATGAGGCTGATCTTGTGAAATTTTCACATCACTTCTTCAATTTCTTGAACTTGGGATGAGACCACCTCTCCGTTTATCACCTCCTGCACAATTGTCTTGATTGTTCGGGTTTTATTTGGATCTAAAGATCAAAGCAGAATAAAGGGAGCAGAATGTGTCAAAGATTATCACAACATTGGTTGTTGGATAATTTAAGCTTCTAAACTGGGTCTTGCCTGATGCAATCCATCAGACTTAAACTTTCAAAAGTGACATTGACATCCTAAAAATGTGTTCTATCCTGTGAGCACAAAATGTATTTGATATGGCCTCCTGCACAAATGAAAACAGTTTTCAATTTGAACATTTACCAAGTGGTGCAGTGCTCATAATTCCTGTCCATAGAGAAGATGTTTTCCCTTCTGGGCTTGCCAAAAGTTTTAACAAGCTACAGACCACTCTATGCTGCAAGAGCACGCAGCGTCTGTCTTTGGCTCATTAGTACTGTATAGTACTGTAATATTCAGTGAGACTTAATACTTTCCACCTCTGATGAACGTGATTCTGACTTACTTTAAGAGACTCTTGTCTGCATACCTTTAGAAGAATCAATGGACTGAGCTTGAGAGTTGGAGACTGTTACAGATGAGCTTTCATCCAAACCATCACTGTAAGGAAAGCGAGGGGTAGGGAGGGAATCATGTTAGGCTGGCTGCAAGGAGAAGGAATAAAGAGAATTTGCTATTTGAGCTCAAAATTAGAAAAGTACATAAAACCATGGCCAAATAGAGAATCTCCGGTCTCCTGATTGGCAGATGCATTCTGAGAGCAGTCAATCGGCTAAGTGCACCCTTGTTTTCAGATCTTGCCTAAAATGGGCTGTCAGCGGGGCAACCTGGCAGCTCGCAGGGCATCTGGTCTTGGAAGTTGGATTCCCGACCACAGGGTGTCCCCTGCCTGCGCCCCCCGCCTCACTCACTCACCCCGCGGCCTCCCCATCCAGCAGTCGGCGGTATGTCTCGATCTCCAGCTCCAGCCGGGCTGTGGCGTCCAGCAGCCGCTGGTGCTCAGCACCCTGGCACTTGGCGTTGGTTCGCACCTGCTGCAGCTGCGCCTCCAGGTTGCCCACGAGCTGCTGCACCTGGGACAGCTGGCTGCAGTAGCCGCCCTCGGTCTCCGCTAGCGAGTCCTCCAGGGATTTCTTCTGCACGCGGGAGGAGAGGAAAACGGAGGCAGCGATGAGCAAACAGAAGCTGCAACATTGTCCCGGCAACTGAAACAAAGTTGCGTCCACGCTCACCAGGGCAAGCTGAGACTGCAGCTCGATCTCCAAGCTCTGCAGGGCGCGCTGCAGGTCGGTGACCTCGCTCCTGCTGGACTGCAGCTGCTCGGTGTTGGAGCTGATCTCCTTCTGGAGCTCCCCGCTCTGCAAGGTGGAGAGGCGGAGGGTAAGCGCTGAGCTTGCATGGGTCTGGGCCCAACACCACCAAGCCCTCTGCTGTCCCGTGGATACCTTTTCCACAAACCAGGCCTCTGCATCCTTGCGGTTCTGCTCTGTGAGGACTTCGAACCGTGCCCTCATGTTGTTGAGGAGCCTGGTGAGGTCCACACCCGGCACCGCGTCTATTTCCACACTGATCTCCCTGGGGCCTTTGGCTCGGATGCTCTGGAGTTCCTGCAGCAGCGGGGAGGGAGGGTTGTGGGTCCAAGGTGATCTAGAGGGGCATCCAGACCTTTGCCTTCCTGGGGCCTCTTCTTCCACAAAAGTTATGCATTTTTTATTTAAAAAATTTTTTTAAATTTTTGAGATAGGTTCTTGCTATGTAGCCCTTGAACTAACTATTGTAGCCCTTGTAACAATCCTCCTGCCTCAGCCTCCAGAGTGCTGGGATTACAGGCGTGCGCCACCACGTCCGGCTCAAACTTTACTTTTTGACTGGCTTGATACAAAGGTAACTATATTAACAATGTATATACAATACATTAAAACTTTAAAACCTAAAAGTATGTATTTTTCGACCGATTTTGAAAGAATTTAAGGCCTATTTTCACAGGCCCTAAAATTACCTCAGGCCCTGGGTGCAGAGCCCAGGGGACAGTGGATTATTTGGCCTGGCCTGAAGTGTCCGCTACCTACAGGGTCCACCACCTCAACCAGAGGAAGGCCTGGTGTGTGGGCGCAAGGTTTCTACTACAGCTGCAAACCCAGAGCTATGAGCAGTATGTGGGATTGTGCACTGTTTGTACCACTTATTGCCAATCTAGTAGAAACTTCTTTTGAAAAAATTTGTTATAGGTTTTAGAGATAGATTCTGGAGAAGTTGCCTAGGTAGGTCTCAAATTTGGGATTCTCCTGCCTCAGCCTACTGTGTGCTGGGATTACAGCTGTGAGCCATGATGCCTCATTGGGTAGAAACTTCTTTAGAAGCCAGTTGCCAGTGTGCATTCTGTGCATCATGGTACACACTATGGCACATCAGCGGTCCATGTGCATGCATTACACTGGGTACAAGTGGTTTCTCTTATATAGTAGTCCATAGTATTGGTACAATTTTGTTTCTTAGCTTTTGAAATACTATGTATATTTTTAAAAGCCACTAAATTGAGACAATTAAAATTTTACTGTCAATATCCAATAATTGAGAATGAGAAAATCAGAAAGTGCACTAATTCATTAAACAGGTTCATTAGCAGGAAGCACCTACACCAGGGTGTGTGTGTGTGGGAGAGAGAGAGAGAGAGAGAGAGAGAGAGAGACAGAGAGAGAGAGAGAGAGAGACTTGAAACAAATGGCCCTTTGAACAGGGAAGGTAACTTCTGATTTGCAAATTTGAAATTGTAATCGTGGGGCCCTGGAATTTCAGGAAGCAGCGCCCACCTCCTTGTGGTTCCTCTTCAGGTAGGCCAGCTCCTCGTTCAGGCCCTCAATCTGCATCTCCAGGTCAGCCCTGGGCAGGGTCAGCTCATCCAGCACCCTGTGCAGCCCGTGGATGTCGGTCTCCACCATCTGGTGTAGGGCCAGCTCACTCTCATACCTTCGAGCCAAGCACACACAGTTTAGAGGGTCCCACAACCAGCTGGCACCCCCCCCGCCCCCTCGGAATGTCTGGTGCAGAAATCCATGCAACTGTTTAAGAATAACATCGTTGCAGTATGTGAGGGAGTTTTGCTTTTGTGACTTTTTCTTTTCTTTTTTTTTTAGTATCATAATTTCCTGTTCAATTGGAGAGGAGAAGAGGTGTGGAAGGGTTTGGTAGTTTTCTGGTGGTAGTGAACCCCAAAGCACAGCACCCCAGGGTGCTGTGGGTTCCACTTGACTGCTGCTCTGGTTGGGAGAACAGCAGCCTCCCTCCGGGTGACGTTCCTAGTGGCACCTTAAAATTGCAGTGACTTTTTGGCTTAATTTTCTTCCCAATTTAATGAAAACCCCCGGCGCTTCTTCAGGGGATTTTACCAAGATGTTACCGGTACCGGTCCATTGCCACTCCAACTTCCTGTGTGGAAATGTTGCCACACAGAAAAGGAAAAAGGAAGTTAGAAAAGGAAATTAGCTTTTGGCCCTTCTGCCTGGGAGGGTGGAGGGTGGGAAAGGAGACGGGAGTGCAGAAGTGGACGATCTTTCAGTTAATCTTTCAATTGCCTGTGCCATCAGGAAAACAGGTGTTTCACCGGACTGTGTGGCAGACACGTTATTCACGCATCTCCCTGCAGTGGAAATTCAGGCTAGGACACTGGTGGAATTGTCACATTGCATCCAAGGTAATAGCGCAGTGCAAGTGTAGTGATTGGGAGCCCGAGGTGTAAGAAACATAATTTAAGGTTGTATAATTCTAACTGTGCTTGCTTCTAATTGCTTCCTAGAATGACCTACTTGAATGGCGAACGTGAACTTTAGCAGATGTGAAACGTTCGCCGTGAGTGGATGCAGGGCGCGAAAGCCAGGTCGGGCCCCGTTCGTCTGCTCTACTCACTTCATTCGGAAGTCCTCGGCGGCCAGCTTGGCATTGTCCACCTGCAGGATGACCTGGGCATTTCCGATGCTGGCAGAGAGGACCTGGCAAAGGACAGTGAGACCCACAAACTGGAGCCTTAAATACTGGCGGTCTCCACGTAGTATGTTGACGTGAAGGTCAAATGTGGATGTTCAATGCTGTTTTCTTAAGAGCTTAAGGCAGCTGCATTTTTAAAAGAAAATGTGTTTACAAAATATCATTGCAAGATGAGGAGACACACTTCCTCCAGGAAGGCACGGAAACACACCCCCTTTATGATAAGTGACATGGGGAAGTAAACTCCTGGAGATGAGAGAATTCTCCAAGCACAGTCTAGCTGAAAACTCTAAATTGCAAGTGATTATCACTGTAAAAACACGGTGTTGGTGAAAGAGGAGAAGAATTCCCAAATGCCCTCCTGAAGACGTGGTCTTACCTTGTTCCTGAGGTCCTCGATCAGTGGGTAGTATTTACTGTAACTGTTCTGGGATGAGGAGTCCCTGGCCCCACTTCCTTGCCTTTCATACCAGTCTCGGATTTTCTGTCCCAGGTCAGCATTGGCCTCCTCCAGGGCTCGAACCTTCTCCAGGTAGGATGCGAGTCTGTCATTCAGCTTTTGCATGGTGGCTTTTTCTGACCCAGGAACAAGGCCTCCATCATTGCCACCGAGGATACCTGCAGAGCCACCTGCTGGGCTGTCCCCAAATGCCATTCCCAGCCCTCTGAAGCCACCTCCCAAGGGTCCCCCGTGACCAGTGCCCAGGCCCCTGGCCAGCGAACACGTAGAGGCACCAGAGAAGCCAGAGCTGGACCCAAACACGGAAGCAGCAGAGAAGCCCCCAGCACAGCAAAACCCCCCAGCTCCGAAGCCAAAGGCGCTGGCCCCAGGGCCCCCCACAGGGCTGGAAGTGGACAGGCCCCTGGCTTGGCCTGCCACTCTGCTCTGCTCAGACATGCGCTGGGACAGCCCAGAGCTCAGCACTGAGAGCGACATGGTGTCCTGGGAGAGGGGAGGTGGTGATGCCAGAGGCGCGCTGCCAGTGAGCAGGGGCCCACCTTTTATAGGCCAGGGGGCGGTGTGGCCGTGGGAAAGCTCACCCCTCCATCGGAAATCGCATGTCCCCCACCGCTTCTAGGCCATCTCAGCAAGTCAGTGATTCATGTGGAATGAAAATTCACTGGTTTAGAATAACCGAGCAGTCATTTCCATTCGATAGATACGTGTGATACAAAAGGGAAGCTGGGTGGAGAGGCTTGAGGTTGTCAAAAGGGATCTTCTGGGAGGGAGTTGTTGCCTGTGTCTGCAGCACAATCAGAAAGCAGTGAGTGTAGCGAATCTCCTCCTGGACGTCAGGCTTCAGGCCTGTTCTTCGCCCGCCTTCCCATTTGTTTGCTTTGGGAAGCCAGGATAAGCCGTGGATTCCGATCCAGAGTATCTTTCAGTGGAATTGCATTTCAGAGCGGCTGCACAGCGCGCTGTAGAATGTGGGGAACAAAGGCTTTTCCCAGGCTGGAACTCGAATTTGAATTTTCCAGATGTTAAAGATTGTCATTAACACGTTGCACAAATTCTCTTTCTGGGTTCCCAAAGGAAAGGCTGCCAACTGCTGTTCCAGAGTAGAATGTGGTAGTTGCTTCAGCAGTTTTTCCTTCATGTAAGAATTGACCTTTTCAGTAAACTCTATGAAATCGGGGTCTTTTGTGGTGGTTCGCTGACCTTCACCCACCACTTACATTTACTCCTTCAAAAGCTGTCCTCTCTACGAGTTGCTCAATTGATGTGTTGACTGGGTGAAGGGATTGTGTCAAAGCTTCTGGTTTTATTGCCGTTATCAGGAGAAAGAAGAAACATGCAGTCTGAATTAAATAATGGAGGTCCCAGGTTCAGGAAGCCACGACCATTTCAGCTGATTGCTCCGATGAAGAGCAACTCGTGTGCAACACTGAACAATGACAGGTTGTCTCCTGAATTGTTTGCAAAAGTTTTGCAAAGCATGCTCTGAAGAATTGTATTCAGTGTCTTTACTATTTAGAACTAAGTTCTTGTTATACTTTCTTCTCTGACATGTTATTTGTCTTTGAAATCGATATGGCTTGTATATGTGGCATCAGAAGAACATTTTGGGGGGAAGTGCATTGATGTGAAAGATGCCTGATTTGGACAGAAAGTATAGACACCCAGAAACTTATTAGTGCAACTCCAGGGGAGGGGGATTTCCTTAGAAATTCAAATTGTGAGCATTTTGTAAAGACTAAGGATTTTCCTTTTACACGTTTTCTTTGACGTGATGATCCAAGTCTCATTTTTTCATTGTAAAATAATCTATTATTGATTTTTAAAAACATAGCAATCTCTCTCTCTCTTCTGCCAAAAATGGTATCCACACTTCAGCTATTCGCTGTACTGATAAATGTCCAGAAGCTCATGGCCACCACTTTGAGGACCTCTTGTAATTGTAGAGGGCCAAAGGTATCATAGTGATCTCACAATGTCTTAATAAATTTGGTATTAAAATATTTATACAACTTTTTCTTTTCCTGATGTACACAATATGTGGCAGACTCTCTCTGTCTCTTTCTCTCTCTCTCTGTATATATGTGAAAATTTGGATGATGCAGGAACTATAAAGAAAATGTAAGTAAATATCAGTATATTATATATATATTTTGAACATAGTTTATACAATATAAGATTTTATGATCTTTCTTAAGATCATATCACTTTAATTTTAATAATTCGGTGTAGAGTATAGATTATAGATTCTTGGACATTATTGGATTCCGATTTCTAAATTCAGGTTTTCTGTATTTGATAATAAGAAATAAAATTTCTGAGTATAAATAGCGGGTTTTATTTTGCAAAGATATTTGCACTAAATTCATTAGTAAGGTGTACGTTGTGTGTACTAAGTATACACATATATTTTGACTAGAGTGGATTTATTGCGATAAAATACATTAAAATTATTGTAAAGATACTGAGATTTCAGTTCTCCAAAAGGTACCTTGTTTTTGTCATAAGTGGCCACCAAAATTCCTCTTTAATTTGGTATATTTGGATTCTGTGTTTTGTTCTGGGGAAGCTTTTTAAAATATCACGAGCAGTCTAGATTTTTAAAATTCTTGTTGGATTTAACAATTCATACCTTTCATGATGAGAAAGGCTTTCAGAAGGTTTTCTGTACATCTTAAGGTGGGTATTACACGTATGTGGTAAAGTTACACTTTTTCAGCACTGTTATTGGGCACCTCTGAGTTCACTGGAGGTGCTTATTCAACACAATCACGATGTTTACCGAATACCTGGCCATTGTTTAAGATTTTGCCAAAAGTGTGTGCAGCACTTTTTTACTTTTCTTAACTAAAGCAATAGTCCAGTGTCTTTTGGACATTTTCTTTTATTGCAGAGATAATTTAGGAGCAAGCATATAGCTGTTACACAACTTGAATTATTCAGAGTGACTTCGCCTTTCTGAAGACGCAGTGAAGTACTTCAGTCACGCCAACGTGGAAGCCTTCAGGGTTGGGGCTATGGCTGCTCTGTTGCCCATGTCCACCCCAGGGTTTCACAGAATCCGCATTCAACACCTGCTTGTTGACTTGATTTCTCCCTGGATAAATCAAGGTCATGACTGTGTGTTACCTACGAGGAAATTTCCCCAACATCAAAGAAGATAATTTGACATAAAGTCGAGCTACATGGTATATTAACTTGAATATTAATGGACTCCAACATGCTGTGAGTGTGACAAAAACACATGCTGAATGTTTCAGGTAAAAAACTGTGTTACAGCTGGGGACTTAGCTCAGTGGTTTCACTGCCTGTCTCACAAGCACAAGGTCCCGAGTTCGATCCCCAGTACCCTCCCCAATTGTATTATAGTAAATGATACATTGCCACAAATCCACCCCCAAATCCTACCCCTCCCTTCAAGCACATGTATCCCATTGTTCTTGGCACTTTGTGAAGCAGTTCTGGATGTCCCCTCTCCTGAGTGTCTTTATGAGGTGTGATAAAAACACAGTGAATGCTGTTGTTGGATGTCACCCAGCAGAAAGGCAGCTCCTAAAAACAGGATGTGGTGTCCCTCATCCACCTTTTCACCACATCTGGCACCATGTGAATCTTGGTTCTTAAAGTCAAAATGACCATGGAAGGAAAATGTTTTGAATCAATTCAGGAGGTCAAGGCAGCCAGGACAGTGTACCTAAAGACTCCCAGGAGAGAGGACTTCCAGACCACCAGCTTCACAGGCGCACACACACACACACACACACACACACACACACGCACAGAAATGTCCCTGCCCGGTGCCCCAGGCAGACGGCAGGTCCACAGCTGCTCCACCTCCCTGCTCCAGGGAATACCGTGCACCGTGCTTTGTCCTGCTGGGTTCAAGTCACAGCACTCCGCACTTGCTTCACTGTCCTGGAGTGAGACCCACAGCCTGGGTTCCTCCCTGGTCACTGCCCCTCCCTCCCACCCCCACACCTGCCCCGTCCCAGCCTCCCTGAGTGAGCTCCTTCACTCACGAATAATCCCGAGCTGCAGTGCCCACTGGGAGCACCCGAAGCCCACGCCAGGCCTCCCTAAGGCACACCCTGAACTGCTGGGACCCCTTCCATCACTTCCCCAGGGCCAGGAGAGAGGCCTGCTGGTGAAATCCAGTTACAACTTCCTTTTACCTTGTGAACCACAGGGCACACGTGAAGGGACAAGGGTCCTTTCCCTCCCTGCTTCATGGAGGGGCAGCAAGTGGACCTCTACATAAAGGGGATTTAAGCGAGGACTTGTAGAAGTTGCCCATTTGGTACAGATGTGCGAAGGATGATGTTGAGCAGGTCCCCATCTGCTGTTCTGTTTCTTGAGAGAGTGAAACTCGTTAAGGGCTGAGTCCCCAGGACAGGCATGGGGGCTTCCAGGTTTGAATTGGTCTGTGTTTCTATGGACTCACTACCTCCCGGATCCCGGCCGAGGGCGTTGCGGATGCATTAACCCTCAGGGTGAGTTCCGAAGGTGCCACTCTTATCCCACCATACAAATAAGCACAATCAGGAGATCAGGTGACTTATTTAAGGCCACACAGGTGGCACAGGTAGGATTTAGGCCTGCAGCTGACAGTGAAAATCTAAAGGACGATGTCCGAGGACTCTGGCCTCTGGTTGTGGCCTGGGTTTCCATCCTGCGCATCCACCAGGAGTGTGGGCTGTTGGCTTTTAGTCCTCCCCCTCACAGGAGTCCCATTTGACTGCTGCACACAGAAGAACGGAGGCCATTTCTTGAGTTGAAAGAATGGGCCAGAGTCAAAATTGTGACCTATTGATGTGATCACAGAATAGGGGAATACGATCACTTGTGTTTCTGATCTTGGAATCAAGTTTGTTCTGAAATCTATACTTCCCACCCCTAACATTTCTATATATTTTAAATATTTTTGCTCTATATTAATACACGAGGTTTGCATATATCTCTATCTATATATCTTACCTGACTAGATTGTAGGCTTCTTAGGTATGGACTATACTTTTTATCCTGAGTCCTAGCCTGGTGTTTGCCTAAACTTTTTCATTGTACTCTTGGCATTATTTTGCTTGAAGGAACTTAATTCTTAATGTGTTTAACTGTGTCACTTATAATGCATTTGATTCAAAATGACTGCACCCTAATTTATCGGTGTGCTTTGACCATGATTTGTTATGAATTCAGGTCTGAGTGGGGAGCAACTCCAGAAGCTGGAAAAAGTGTTTCATCCTGGAGAGTTTTTGGGGGAAGAGGGAGTCCAGTACTCAGCCCTCTCGGAGGTGGCTGGTTAGCTCAGTTGGTTGGAGTATGGGATCAGTAATGAAGCCTCTGTTTTTGGGCTTTTAGAAGTGAACATAATTTTCTTTGACAGCCACAAAGCTGTAGGGCCAGGTGAGAAGGCTTAGGGAAAAACAACCCTGGGCTTGTTGGCGAAGTGATTGCATAAGCGAAGCACAGTGGGAAATGACCAGAGCCTAGGT